TTTCGCCTCGCAAAAAAACAAGGAGTACGCAGAGCTGACTGCCAACCCTCGCTAGTCGGAGAGGCACTTTAAGAAGATCAATTTAAGGTTATGAACGATTTGATTTGATAATAGCAAGGTATGGGCCCACGCCATAGTATTTCATACGAAAATGTACCGCGTCTGTTAAAAGATACTGATTTGACTTAAGAGTCATCTTCCCCATTGGAATAAAATGTCAAAGAATCATATCAAACAGCAACATTACTATCCCAAAAAGATATCTTTCCGTGCGCCATATACGTTTTAACAAGTGAAACAAAGAATTTTGTTAAAGGGCCATGTTATAAAAACTGGTAGTAAAACACATAAGTACTCTCAAACAAAACGGTCAGTTTTAATAACAAAATATAACACACATAAATACTTCGACAGATCATTTCGTCTCTTTCACAACTATTTACTAAAACAAGGACACAGCACAATCTGAATCGATTAAATTATTCCTAACGGATGGTACTAAGACACTACAGTTATATTGTTGTGATATCATTCTGCCTACCCTCATTGTGCGAAGCTTGAATACAATTATTAAATGGATACAATCCATGGTAATAGACTCTAGAACTATGGGAATGTCTATAAAGCTAATAGTAATTTATTAAAGCGCATATAAATGCTTTCTAATTGAATGATTACTATTTTTAAGTAAACTTTTAAGTACGCCATGTTACATTTTAAATCCACAAATAAACAAATTTGTTCAAAACAATTTAAGTATAATTTTTAGTTAAAGTGAACATAAAATTGGTAAAAATCGATTTAATTTTACAAAAAGGCAACTCATTAGACATAAAATGAAATGTACTCGTAACGACATTTACCTTGTACTTAATTGTGATAACTTGTAATTATTTTAAAATGCGCTAAAAAGAATGATTAGAAGTGTGCATTTATATTTCAATGTATATCGTTAAAACTACTGTCACTCAGAACAAAATATAGACTAAAAACCATTAAGAAAAATAAATAAGAAGAAAGAGAAGGCGAAAAAGGATTGCCAACAAATAAAAAATAAGAAACAAATTAGTCCATCCCTTTAGGAGAAAAATATTTGTAAATAAATATAACAGTCATTGCATGATTTAGAATCTTTAGTTACTTAATAGTTCATCTTGTTTTCGGTAGATGGCGCGCTCGAAAAAAAATAATATATATAAATTAAAGTTAATTTTTAATACGTTGGTGATAATCCTTTTTCTCTAAAATAATAATTAAATTGTTTTCAGGAATACATGTTCATTACTAACTAAATCTAAAATATAATAAAATAAACTTAAATATAGTTCAGAGCATATAACCTAAAACGCAATCCACTAGTTGTTAACAAAATATGAAATAAATAAAAATAATTTAACATATATTTTCGGTAAATTAAAAAGTCTGATTTGAAGATTCATTTCAATTAGAACGGAACAAAATAGGAGACATGTTTTATTATTTGTTAGTTTATTTCACATCATTCAATCGTCACAGTGATCGCATTCGGCGATGCGATTGGCCGTCACTGAACTCTTCGCCAATCGCAGCGCGGTCACCGTCGAAAGCGAGTAAACACGCACCGTACCTCCTGATTAACTTAACTTCTAGATAGGAATTTCTATTAATTAGTCATTTGTATGTAAATATTGTAATATAACATAAAATGTCATGAATTATGAGATTTTAAACTAAGTGCTACAAATAGAAAGAGATAGATATAGCTTATAGGCATTCTAAGTTGAAAGTTAAAACTGGACCAATTCATCTAGGCAAGCTAAATTGTTTTTAAAGTTACTACTACGCTCCTTAAAGTGATAACGTGATGTTATAACCGCAAACAGATTATACTAAAGATTATTTAATATAAGTACTATCACATATTACTTATAAATATACTACATGTAATGTTTTAACTATTTTATTATATATTTGTACTTTGCCAATACACGTATTATTTTGCCACGTACGCTAGTAAATTTTGTATTTTAATCAATAGTGATTTAGACGAGTTGGTAGATAGAAAAAGCGGAAGAGAAAAAAAAGAAATAACAAAAGGCGCCATTGACTTTAACTTTTAACTGTAATTAAAGACAGCTCATCACAGCCCGTCACCGTGGATGGCCCGAGGTACGTCGGGGTATCAGGGATTTCCTTTCTAGGGTATACCTGGTTCCCCGGCTACTGCTATAATTACCCCACCGATACCCATCGGTGGGGTAATTATGTCGGACTCGAGCCTATATCCGCCGATATCGGCATAGGGATTTCGGCACAGAAAAAAAAGATATACATTTAACCGTGGGAGAGCCACGTGGGGGTGTGGGAGGGGGGGAAGGTTTACTCGATGTCTAGCTAAAAATTACACATAGACAGTATTTTCTCCTTTATATTATAGTCGTGGGTAGAATTAAACTCATGTGTATAATAACGGGAATGAGAGATGTGCCCAACAGGCGTCCTTAATCACGGAGTGAAGCGACCTGTCATGAGGCCAAGCGCCTTCTTTTGATCATTCGGTTATCTCCGCTATATATACTTAAGTAAAAACATATTTTCAATAACTAGCTATAAATACAAATATAAATAAAAGTAAAAACATGTATCTATTAAGTCATTACAATCACACCTATTAAAGGACTATCCATGAATTTTGTGAGCTTTTTCCTTTTAATTTTGAACCCTTTTCCCTTTTGTGATGTTTGAAACGATTTCCCCGAGGGTTTATGAGATTGTATTAATACAGTTAAAATAAGATTTGATGCAATGTATAAAACCCCTTTACTTTATATTTTGAGGTCACATAATTAATGGATGACACCTAACAAAATAAATTAAAAAAAGTACATTGGAACTAATTCTAAGCTCACTAGTGGCATACTACTGCTCGGATACATGAGACAAAAGATACCATCGGTGGCAAGAGCGAGAGAGAGAAAAGCTAAATAATTTACACGGTGTAAGGGACGTCGCTGTCGGAAAATTAAACTTTTACAAGGGTTAAGGTCATTCCCCGTAGGTATCGAACAAAAGTAACAACTACATGTGTATTCCTTGCAAACAGTCTACACTAACACAAAATGGCGGCCGGAATGGAGGCCCCGCGCGCTTCGGCTGTTTGATTAATTACATTGCAGTTTTTTGGTATTTATTAAATTGTTTTCGGTAAAATGTTCTGTCTACTCATTTTGACATCCATTTTTAAACAGAAAAATTTAAAATTAAACAAAGAATTGATGAATTTTCCGGCAGAAAATTACAATGATTTTCGACTCAGAATTATGGTCTGAATCCACTATTTCAGTATTCGGTACGATGTCCCTTACACCCTGTATACCGAGCAATAATATTGAATAGTTTTGTATTAATAGCAGGTACATAAGATTTATTATTTTTATTATTAAGTACAACAGAAGTCTATAGTTATCTATAGTCTTATAATAACACATTGTGTATTTCAATCTGTTAATATTAAAAAGTTTAATAAATAATTGAATAAAATTATTACATCACTGGAAATATTTAGTTTTGAAGGTTTACTGCGAAAATGAGTTAAGTACAGTATATGGGGTAGATTCCTATGTTTAAAATAAACTGTTGCCCTTGAATATTTAAATGTAACATTTTAAAGTACATCCTGAATTATCCTTTTTTTATGTTAGAGGGGGCAGACGAGCAGACGGGTCACCTGATGGAAAGTGACCATCGCCGCCCATGAACGTCTGCAACTCAGGAGTCACAAACGCGTTGCCGGCTTTTAATAGCTTTTTTTCCTCCATTATCAATTTATTGTTTTTATGTCTATTTAAGTTAGGGCACAGGCTGAACTAAGTGACAGGTGACTGCCGCTCAGGATCGTTCCTGGTGCAGAGGTCAGCGTGGGAACTCAGCTAGCGTCACTTTGCGGCAGATCGCTCCCAGGGGTGGTTTAATTTAATATTTATTTTAGTTGTTATATATCCTAAATATCAGAATTAACTTAATTATATTTCATAGATTTTTTTTCAAGTCTTCAAATAAACATTAAATAGAAATGATTTGACGACAGCTAAGCCGACGTCACGCCATAGTATTTCATACTAAAATGTACAGCGTAAATAAATAAACTAATATTTAAACTTCGCTTTTATAGTATACTGGCTTATGCCAGAGACATCGTTCGCGTGGTGGTCGACATCAGACATCGTAAAGGATACGCTCGTACCAAAAATAACGATGTTTTTTTGCATCCTTAGGTGTGGAATCGTTAAAAATCCTTTCTTAGGCCCTAGGCCTAGGCCTAGGCCTAGCACTCGTCCACCTACATCATCTAAGGAACATTTGTGCATAATTTCATGCTTATAAACCCAGCGATTTCAGCTGTGCGTTAGTCGATTAGTCAGTGAATCACTCTATCAGTTTCTTACTTTATAGATACAAAAAGCGCGGTCAAGTGCGGTTTGGACTCGTGCACGAAGGGTTCTGTACCATTATCTATAAAAACGGCAAAAAAATGATGTCTGTTGTATGGGAGCCCCATTTAAATGTTTATTTTAATCTGTTTTTAGTATTTGTTGTTATAGCGGGTAATAGAAATACATCATCTGTGAAAATTTCAACTGTTTAACTATGACGGTTCATGAGATACAGCCCGGTGATGGACAGACAGACAGACGAACGGACGGACAGCGGAGTCTTAGTAATAGGGTCCCGTTTTACCCTTTGGGTACGGAACCCTAATTATGACATTATTTTTATGAAAGCGATCACGTAATAAGGTATTACATTTCTTTGAATCCTGACTGATCCTCCCTACTACTTTCTACCATTTCCCCCCATCGACGATTTCTATACTTAAGTAGCAAGTGTCAATGGACAGCGGCAGTCATCATCAGGTAACACTAAAATAATATTTTGGTAAATAAATTAACAGATTGAAATACAAATATACCTAAAACAAAACAAGGAGTGCAATAAATAAATAAATAACTGGTATTAAGATACTACACGGTGTTTGGTGTGGCGCCGTCATCTTCCATGGCGTTCTTCAGCTCCATGGCTAGCTTGTAGCCCAGCTCTGGACGCCGGTCACGGCCCTCCACCATAGACAATACCTGCAAGGTTTAAAATACTTAATTTTTGTTACAAAATAGTGGTTACCTGGTCCCAATATTCTGTTGTAATTTTTATGCCATAGGAAGGCAAATAAACCACCTGTGAAATGAAACTCAACATACGAATGGGTTACCAGACCCCCTCATCACCAACCTAAGGTCACAGGTCACCTGATGGTACCTAAGTGTCTACCGCTGGCAGCCTCAAACTGTAACTCAAAATACGAATGCGTTAGCCCGCCCCAAGTCACAGATCACCTGATGGTGAGGGTCTACCGCCGTTATTCCCCCCTCCCAGTGTTCTGTTCCGGCTGTTCACTGCACTGGACTATAGTGTTCTATATTTAGTGGAATCACACCTCCCAGTGTTCTATATTTAGTGGAATCATTTGGTTCTTCCACTGCATAAATAAAATCACCTTCGTATTTATACCATCAGTATAATTTTGAATATGAATTACCTCATCAGAGTTAACAATGACACCACTGTTGTTAATGATCGTGGACTTGGTCTTCTCGATGTCGGCCAGGTCTACTCCGCGACTGGCGTCATCTATCAGGATGGCTCGGTAGCCGATGGCCAACGCATCAGCTATTGTTGCTCCTGCAAGTACGATATACATTTGTTCAAATTTGAGGTACTTCGCAAATTTATGGGATGCCGCAAAGATTCGGCAAAGAGGTTTTTGCAAAGTTTGAGGGTTATGGCAAATTTGAGATGTTCGGCAATTTTGAAGTAGACATAAGGCACATTTTGGATTCGGGAATTTGTAGCAAATTAGCATACCTGATGGTAAGCGACTACGGTCACCCATCATTGGACATCTGCAACTCTTTTTTTGAAATATTAGAAGGTTGTATCAGTCCGGAAATATAGTGCATGGTAGGATTTGAGGTATATAGAAAATTATAAATATATTTAAAAATGTAATTTATATGTATATTTAATATAATAAAGAGAATAATAATAACTTCACACATCTCACACACGGCTGTCGGATTCCAAACTAGGCAGAGCCTGTACTATGGTAACCAGACTGCTGATAAACATACTTATATGTATATTACTAAATACATACAGAGTATAGACAAATTACACCCAGACACATGACAAATAATCGTGATCATCACAAAATTATTTGTCCTAGGTGGGAATCGAACCCAGAACCTCCGTCTTAGCAGTCAGTGTCACTAACCACTAGACCAACAGGCCCGTCGATTAAATTTGACGCACTTAGCCAGTTGACGACAAATATATTACGTAAAAACAGAATTTTAAAATTTCTTTGTGTTCTAAAGAGTTATTTGCGTGCAGACGTTCATACATACCCACACACACGTCGTACGCGAGCCCACAGATGTAGATGTCAGTAGCGTTGCGCATGCGCAGCTGCGTGCTCAAAGTCGTATCTGTCAACTTTTTGTTGTCCCAGAACACGGAGTAAGAGTCTACTTCAGGGTTCGTGCCTTTGTATATCTTCACTGCGCCCTCCACTACCTGGATACAGAAGGCAGAGTGTTAATCCAGGCTTGGACTAGATAGGAAATAATGTAATATACTAGATTTTGCCCGCGGCTTCGTCTGAGTGTATATCCTATGTCCTTTATCAAGAATCAAACCACCTACAATACAAACTTCCACCCCCCTTTTCACACCTTTAAAGGATGATTTCGGAGATAAAACTATCCTATGTCCTTTACCGCAACTCAAAATATCTCAATACCAAATTTCATCGAAATCGATTCGGCTGTTTAAGCGTGAAGAGTAACAGACAGACAGACACTTTCGCACAAGACTCGCTTACCGTGGAGTATGTACCTGTATATGCCAAATTTACGTTGGAAAACAATTCGGTATACTACTCTGTCAGGAAAGTACCTTGAAAAAATCAATAATACACGAAATATTTGTTATTCATCCAAATTTATTTTATCACCTTCAAAGTATGCTCCTTCAGAAACGATACACTTACGCCAACGAATAACTAGTCAACAAGCTTCGGAGGAGTCCGAAGCTTGTTGACTAGCTTGCATGTCAAACTCGAAAAACCCAAGTCTCGTCACCAGTAACAATGCGTTTCATGAATATTGGTTCGAAATTGACTCGTTCTAGCATGTCCTCAGCGACTCTCATGCGATTGAGTTTTTGTAGAAAATTCCCCCCTACACCGTCCCTACACCTTTAATTGTGGTAAACAAGTTAAAAAAAAAATACGTACGCGAATCTACGAACAAAAGTTAGTAGTTTCAAGAAATATTGAAAATGGGGTTATTTATACAAATATTATTTTTTAACTATTACGTAAAACAAAAAAAAATCTTTATTCAAGCGTTTGTCAATGGTAATAGGCTACGAACATACATATTTAATTTTTGTTGACATTAATACGTATTTAAAATACATAACATTTCAACAAAAACATTCATTGTGTCAATTCATACTGTCGATGTCAAACACACATCTGTATAATATATAGACATAGTATGTTGTATTTGTAAATAATATAAAACACTTATGACTGCACGGATGGCGACGCCGTTTAAGTGGTCGCCACGCCGCTTCCTACTACGCTGAGTGTTGTGGGTCCGATCCCCACATGGGATGACACTTTGTGTGATCCACAAATTGTTGTTCTGAGTCTGGGTGTTCTTTGTGTCCGTTTCATGTATGTTTGTAAAGGCCCCAGAGACATAGGATATATTCCAAATGCGGTTTGTCTTTTTTATAAAAAAAAAAACAAAATAAAACTTGAATGCACGGATGGCGTAGTGGTTTGGGTTCGATCCCCACTCGAGACAAGACTTTGTGCGATCTACAAATTGTATTCTCAGTCTGGATGTTCTTTGTGTCCGTTTCATGTATATTTGTAAAGTCCCCCGCGACACATGATATATTCCTAATTCAGAAGTTGTTCTTTTAAATGAAATGCACCTAAATCGTGGTAAGTTTAACAAAAACTTTTCTTCGTTGCTTAATTTTTAGTACTTAATGAGGGTAAACAATATCATCCCCTAACCGCTTAAACTCGAAAAAGTATGCGTTAGGTTTATTGGGTTATTTACTTTGTATGTGTGTATATATATTATATTATACAAAATAAATAACTATTAAAGTTAGGTATAAGCTAGCTTAGCACAAAAACTCTATCCTTCACCCAATGTAACATCTCCGTTGACGATTAAAACTTTGTAAAACATTTCTTTTTTAAAGATATCATTAGCACTATCGTCTGTCATCGTTTTCGAGACCCTACCAACCTGAACATACAGTTCAATTTACTGCCTACTCCCTTTCTAGACATAGCCTCTTTTACGCAATCCATCCATGGATGGTCATTCTCTACTCTAATACCCGTCATCTTCCATACTTAAAATTTTCTTCACTACTCTTTGCTCATCTCTACACATCACATGTCCATACCAGGATAACCTGATGCACCTCAACTTTTCATCCACTGGCCCTGGCTTCAGCCTTCCTAGGGATAGTGCAAGTTCCTGACCTTCAAGTCTTTGTGCAGCTCAGCACCCCAGGTATCTTGGACGCAGTGCCTCGGCCAGAGCCTCTGTTTCATCGGGGGTGGACCGGCGAAGACCACTGTGTCGTAGGCTTGGGCTTTATCTGCTGACACCTGGAGAAGGGAAAAATTATTAGACGACCTCAGCAGTTTATGTTCGGAGTAGCGGCTTTGATTTCCGTTCAATGTAACTATTTGTAGGCATCAATCTCATTACAATTTTTTTACGTATTTATTTATAACTCTTTTCTCTCCAGACCCTACAAAGATAGTTGTGCCGAAATGTAGGACTACCCTTTATCATAAAACTAGAATGTTTGTGTATGTCAAGATTTCTAACAAACTAAATAACAATTTAAATTGTTTAGTTTACGCCTAAAGAATTGGCTAACTGAAAAATGCTTATACTTATACACTGTTAAGGAATTTTTAGAGTCTAGACAAGTATAGATATTCATTATAGTGTTATATCTTTTTTTAGTCTTTATCTTTAAATTATTGTAGGTCCAAAATGGGCTGATTGACGTTAATATAATATTATGTACCTACCATAGAACCATAAAGATATAATCACAGAGAGAACACGGGGTACAGCTGCCTGTAAGTCGAAGCGCTACAGGCAACGAGAGAGATGGATTGGCGACAGTTCCCTCTGTCTCTGTTTAGCTAAGCTGCGATTGGCTATCGTGAAGTGAACCTCTTATATTCCCCAGCAAACCACAGAGCTCGACTAGAAAGAGATAGTACTATCTATTATCCATGGCTCTCGTTGCCGATACTTTACTTAAAAAAAAAACTATTTATAGCTGTCTTCTAGACCAAACACAAGAGTACAAGATATGCTTACTTTGCGTCTTAATAACGCTATCATAATGTTTTGACTGCACGGATGGCGTAAGGGTTTAGGCGGTCGCCACGCCGCTTACTACTACGCTGAGTGTTGTGGGTCCGATCCCCGCATGAGACGACACTTTGTGTGATCCACAAATTGTTGTTCTGAATCTGGGTGTCCTTTGTGTCCGTTCCATATATGTTTGTAAAGTTCATCGCGACACAGGTTTGTAAGCGACTCCTTTGGGCGTGATTTTGACTGACTTTAAACGATCAGAATTCGTTCAAACTTTGTAGATATATCGAGAACCGATGACAATAAACTAATAAATAAATATAGTTCTATAAAAAAATAAAAAAAATAGTTTTAAAAAACTAAAAAACACGCTTTCTATAGAAAACCAAACTAAAAAATAGAAAATAAATTTGAAAAAAGCGTTGGGTGCTTTTTACTATTGACAACAGGCACCCAACGCTTTTTGGTTTGGTTTTCTATAAAAAGCTGGTTTTTTAGTTTTTTTAAACAAATAAACAAACAAATGTGAACTTAGGTAGAACTTTGTTAGGTCTGTTGGCCAAGTGGGTAGTGATCCTGACTGCCAGAGGTCGTGGGCTCGATTCGTGTAAGATGTGTAAAGTTATTATTATTGGTTAATAATAATAACTTTACACAGAGTAGTTACTTTATATAACTACAATTATGTTCATGTAAGGTAAGTAACACTTTTTTAATTGCCTGATGTTTTGACCAGTTTGTACTGGCCGTGGTCACAGATTGGCTCGTTTTTTATGCAATAGCAATGAAAAAAAATCTAAGCAGCGGTATTCTGTGAGTACGTGGTATGACTCGCCAGTTGAGCTGCCTGTGTCTGAACACAGCTCTCCCGCGTTAAGATTAATAATAATAACATTTAACACAACGCCATCTGGTTTCAAACTAAGCAGAGCTTGTACTATGAATACTTGAATACTTTTTTTGTAAATACACACATATTATACATAGACAACACCCAAACTACGAAAAATTTTTTTGCAGATCATACAAACATATGCACCGACCCGGGAATCGAACCCGAGAGCTCAGCACAGCAGTTGCAGACGCTACCACTGCGCCTGCCTGCTTATTACGTAATTGCGTTAATTCCCATAATCACGTTGATAATATTTATATTTTTTGCTAATAAATTCTTCAAGTATCGTAATTAAATACACAATAGGGTTTCTAATCAGGCGATGTGCTCCAAATGAATTGAATATTCTTCACGCAAGATGGAAATTATCGTAGGGTTGGTAACCAATGTAAATTTATTATTTTTTTATTTTATTATTTTTAGTCTGTAGTGTCACTACAGACTAAAAACTGTAGTGTCACTAGTCACTACAGACTAAAAATGCAAGGCAACGGCCACCGTTTTTCCGTTCCACATCTCTCTGTCGTGCTTATTTTTGCCCATAGATCCGTCGGCATGAGCCAAATGTGTCTCGTCCAGTTCCACTTGAGTGCGATTCCACTTTGCCAATCACAAAAAGGACATACGCGACCCCGATCTATTCCAACTACTCCAGTCTGGGTCCCAATTTTTCTCCTACCATGGGAGAGCCATGGTCTTACTGAAAACCGGTGTTAAGAAATTCTTTCGTTGATTTTGACCGACTGAGTGAGGAGTTACAGGGCCCTAAACCTAGACTTGAGGGGGGGGGGGGCATAGGGCGGCAGTGCACTTGTGACTTTTCAGTTGCAGCTATACATGGGCGGCGGTAGTTCCCATTAGTACTTACCATTAGGTGACCCGTCTGCTCGATTACCCCTTTTCCCATAAAAAAAGTAGCGGTCCAAGAAGACCCCTTTGGAACACCTCACGACATAGGACAACGCCTCAGATCTTCATCTCGCTCCTCGTATACGACTGACGCTACTCTTAATAGTCTGCCATTAACAGCCAGACAAAAGAAAAACTTAATAAACTCCATTATATTTATAAAATACTTGAAAATTCAAAGCTACCCTCAATAAAACAAAAATAACGGTTCTTCGACAACCCTAGCGAGGTCAAGTTCGAGAGGATGTCCTCAAAAAGTTCGCGACGTTAAATTTATATAGATAATTTTACGACAACAGAGGGTATCACGAAGGTTAAACGCGCACTGTGAGTTTTATTGCAAACCTTTTCTTGTCTTTTTACCCGATTACGCTATAAGGACTACACTATACGGACTAATACCAGCCGCAACTTTCCGCCATCGTTCCACAAGGCAAAATGTTCATCCTCATCACCTGGATAGTTGACGCTCCACTACTGTGCGCTTTTCGAGACACTTTTTGCCCCGCACAACCAATCTGTTATCGTCTACGGTTTTTCCGGACCGATACGACCTTTAAACCTTCAAGAAAAGAGCGTACTCCTTCCTAAACAAATGCAAACAATTCTTCCAACGCGTTTGTGACTCCAGAGTTGCAGACGTTCATGGGCGGCGGTGGCCACTTTCCGTTAGGTGACCCGTCTGCTCGTCTGCCCCCTCTATCATAACAAAAAGGAGGGTTATGTTCTTCGAATGTATACGAGTATATGTGTATTTCTTTGGCACGCTCTTTAGTTAGATTCGTCACAAGGGTAGGTATATGAAAATTAAAACAGCTCGTTTGTAAATTTTATGTACCATTTTTACGCAGTCGAGTTTTTTGTTTGATTTTTCGATAATTAGCTTGTATATATGTAGTATAGACTTGTCGGTGCAGAACCTACTAGGTATCAAGTATTTTACTATCCAAAGCTCTTTTGTTTTTTTGTTTCGCTGTTCCGCCGCTACGCCACGCTAAATATGGGTCGCCACGCCGCTTACTTCTACGCCGCCGAGTGTTGTGGGTCCGATCCCCACATAGGACGACACTTTGTGTGATCCACGAATTGTTGTTCTGAGTCTGGGTGTTCTTTGTGTCCGTTTCATGTATCTTTGAAAAGTCGCCCGCGACACAGGATATATTCCTAATGCGGGAGTTGTCTTTAAAAAAAAAAAAGCGCCAATAATTTGTGTGTTCCACAAATTCACATATCTGCCTTTGTCCTGAGTTGTGTCTGTCTCATCAATATCTCTTGCGATACAGAAATTATTTTACATGTGGGATTTGTCTCTTAAAGCAAGAAAAATAATCAAAACTTCATCAAAAAGTTCATCAATCAAAACCTTCAACAAACTGAGTGTTATATTATCTGTATTTTCCAAGATTTCTCATCTATTGATCCTGGTGGTCAGTGTAAATATAGATAGGATTAGTACCATTTTAAACCTTCTTTCAAAATCGAACTCTTGACTCCCATCATGGAAATCGCATACCAACAGTTCTCTTTTTGTTTTACAAAGTAACTACTGCTTTTTGTTTTACTTTAACTTTTGACCCATCTCGGGATGAATCTGATATTAATTTTAAAGCTACTCACCGGACTAGAAGGATGTAGTTCCCTCATGTGAACGTTGTCGATGAAGGAGACGTGGTCTGAAGGATGCCAATCGAGAGAGTAGAAAACGCAGTCAAACGGTATGCTCTCCAGGAGTCGGTTAATGGGTTCCACCACCTGAAAAAAAATTGAATTGAGGATTTGTATTTCTATGTCAACAGGACCAGACAAGAGTTAATTATTGTGGATAGAGTATCCTCTCCACTCCAGTTAATTATCGTTGAATACTTAAGTCCTTTTACACGTAATCACTCCTATAGATTGCAGTAAAATGAGAGGAAAGGACAATCGAGCAAACGGGTCACCTGATGGTAAGTGGACACTGTCGCTAATGGACACCTGCGACGCAAGAGTCACAAGTGTGTTTTAGTGCCCGTTTAGTGCCTCCCCCAGAATCAAGGAGAGTAGGAAGCTTTGGGCTCCGGTAACCTCACTCACTCGGTGAAGGGCAACGAAAAACTGCTGACTCCGGTTTTCTGTGATGCCGTGGCATCGAGCTTCATCATAATCATTTTCAACAGCCTCTAATAGTCCACTGCTGGACATAGGCCTCTCCTTAGAAAGGAGGTTTTGGCCTACTATACCACGCTGGAAAGACGAGTTGGTATAGGGTTTGTTTCAATTTTTCCTTCTTTTTGCAGTACTGTTGTTCTGCGTAGTTTGCTCCCTTTGCCGGCTCTTAAGACACCCACGGAAGGAATAGGGGTAGTGACACTCCGTGTTCTTAATACGCCACCAAACGGAATTGTGGATGTAATTTATGTATAATATGTATGTATTTAGAAATATATAAGTATGGGGTCTACCAATAAGAACATCCTGGTTTAAAAATTGAATGAAACACACAATTTTTTTATGAAAAATGCATCCGATTGATTTATTTGATAAATAATTTTATGCAATTTATGTTTTAAATAATATATCGGCCAAATGACCGCCGCGGCTCTTTTTGCAGACGGTCACCTGCTCACGCCAATTTTCGATGACGCGGTGCACCATTTCGGCCGGTATGTCGGCTATGGCTCGTCGAATGTTGGTTTTTAGGTCACGAATTGTAGCTGAATTATTGCTGTACACTTTAGATTTAATGTAACCCCAAAGAAAATAGTCTAAAGGTGTTAAATCACACGGTCTTGGTGGCCAACTGTGCCCCGAGCACGAAAAAATGTCGAATGCGTATCGTAAACGTATCGAGTCTTCGATACGTTTACGGAGTTTTACGATAGGCGGTAGCACGAAGCACTAACGTTAAGGTATCGAGAGCTCGATACGATTACGTTAGTGACGTCATCCTAACGTAAATAAGGATGTGCACTTAAGAACGAATTCAACATCTTATTGAATGAACTATGCGTTCGAAAACATAATGAAATAGTGATTTTTTTAATACTTTCGGTTAAACTACCTATTTATTGACAATTAAAACAAAATTTACTTATATAAACACATAATAAATCTTAAATTAGGTATGGGAGATTTTAAAATGTAGTATATTTTGTAGAATTAAAATAATTATTATGACATTTTTTTCGGTTTCTGAATAACACGTCTCCACTTGACAATTTATTGACATAGATACGACGCTATGTCTGTAAATTGTTTATTATTTTTATTGTAAATTCATCTCCAAGTTTAAGATTATTTGTAAACCTTGAAACTTTAAGAAGCATTTTATAGAAAATATTATTTGTATTATTACGTCGTGTTGGCTGTCGATTGTGACAAAAATCTAAGCTTCCAATAATAGCTAAGTCGTATACCACTAGACCGTTGTCTTATGTGAAAAGAAACTGATAAAGATTTCTTTAAAATAAACCACAGTAAGTCGTGCCACAATAAATCGAACTGTGGAACAGCACAGACGAAGACGTGTTTCATCATCATCTGCGCCAAAAATCCCAACATCAAAAAAGTCAGTGCCTACAAGCCATTTACAATACGTGGCTATGGTGTAACTTCTTGAAAGGTGAGTTTATTTAATTTACTATTTGCAATACTCAATGTACTATAATGTAAAATAACGATGTGATGTTTGAGAATATTATAAATTTCATATTTATAATTCAATTTCTCGTTGTTATGAGACTTACACTGCTACTTGACATTAAAATAAAGTTTCAATTGTAAATATAGATAAAATCTGTCACTTTATAAATGAAAAAATGAAATGAAAAGAAATTAAAAACACCACCATAGCAATCCTACAGATAAACATACCAGGGACAACTAATGTCTCATATCAGTCAATCTAGGTTTCATAGTACAAGTTCTGCTTAGTTTGAAACTATGTATATGGTGTTGTGTGTCAGATGTCTGAAAATATTATATTCGTTATTATATAAGTAATAAATGTTGTAATATTTTGTTGCAGATTGGAATACTGGGGGCTCAAGCAGCCAACCAACTGTGGCTCCTCCTTTACCAGCATCTGAGGTTCATTCTCAGTCTTCTCCAGTCCCCGCAGTGGCGAGGAGTGGAAGTCTCCTGAAGAAAAATAAACTCAAAACAAGCAATGATATTTTAACCGTTAATAGAATCGTAATTGTGTAAAATAAAATTAAAATTATTAACTAGACATATAACTTTTTCAAAGTAAATAATGTTCTCTGTAAATAACATGTATGTATGTATGTATGTAATGTATAAAAACCAACTCTGTATAATTCATTTTAAAATTATGGTAAATAAAAAATATTCATACTAGCTCATTTTTTACTATATACCTTTCATCCCTGTCTGCTGGGTAACCCCCTCTATCTAACCTAATTTGGTACGAGCCTAGCAATGCGCTTTGGATATTTGTTCAAGGAAAAACCTTACTGAGCAATCCAAGGTCATTAAACAAATTATAGAGGGAGTTAGCTCTTATACCCCTCGCCCCCACTTCCACGGCATATAACGCAACGAAATAACCATTTTTAGTTATTTCGTTGGTTAAGTCAAACTACTTCTTAGCTTAAAGCGATATATTTTGAAATTCGTTGTCATTTAAATTTAAAGGACTAGCTGGTGCCCGAAACATCGTTTGCGTAGAATTTGAAAAGCGCTGCCTTAGTGGGTTCGATTCCCGGACCGGGCAAAGTTTTTTAGCCTAAATTACTCCTTATATAGACAGCTACCGCCGTTTGCCGTTTTGAAGATTACCCGAACCCAAAAAATAGTTAGACTGGTTTTTAGGCATAGGTATCTTGCAAAAAACCGTGTGAGCATTAAAAAAACCTATTATTTTATATTACAAACAGACAGATTTTCCTTCACTTTTATCTTTCTTTGTTTTTCTCTTCGCCTCATTTCACTAAAAAATAATTAATTAGATTAATAGATATATAGGTACATACTAAGTATACTACATTTTATTAATATAGTAGAAGTTTCTTCAAATGTTTCTGACAAATATTTAGTTTACACTTTATAGATAAAACAAGATTTTGCTCACCTCGAATCTAGTTGTTGAATACCTTTATTTTCAATTAAACTTGCGACAAGAACATACATAGGACTAAAGCGGCGGTCTTTGCATTTTATCTCTATAAAAAATAACCGTTAATACTTGAAAATAATAGTTTTAAAAGAAATTGATTGTTTCGAAACTTTTCTCACGGCTAAATCTTAGGTGAATAAACATTCGACTAAGTTTGACAGGTGCTCGATAGCCAGCCATCGAACGTACGTCAAAATTTCATTCGTGCTGCCAATTTTCTTTATAAAGTGTAACGTATCGAATGCTTGACGATACGTTGACGATACGAAAGTAAAATCGAAACGTTCGTGCTGCCAAAATTAGTTACTTTTACGCACGATAGGGGCGCTGCACAAATGTCATACAAATTTTGTCGAAGACGATACGAATACTTTTTCGCAAGTTGTTCATGCTCGGGGCACTGATCGGTCCATTTTCTCTAAATTAACGACTCACCAAACTTTCCACGCAATAATTCCATGTTCAGTCGAGTAATGTGAGGTGGTGCACCGTCTTGTTGAAAATAAAGGTCCTCTGCATCAATATAATTAAATTCCGGAAAGAAATATTCGGTTAACACCGAGTTATAGCGTTCGCCATTCACAGTAACAGGGTTTCCCTGAAGGAAACCCTGTTACTGTGAATGGCGAGCGCAGGAAATTCCTGCGTCACTTTCAAAGAAGTACGGACCAATGATTCCACCGTACCATAAACCGCACCAAACTGTTATTTTTTGCGGATGTAATGGTGATTCATGAACCACACGTGGATTTGACTCACTCCAATAGCGACAATTTTGTTTGTTAACAAATCCATTGGGCCTCATCAGAGAAGATGACTTTACGATGAAAATCGTCATCGGCTTCCATCATTTCCAGTGCATAATTGGCAAATTCACGACGGATACAATGGTCGGATGGCTTCAATTCTTGTGCCAAAACAATTTTGTATGGGTGTAGGCCCAAATCCAACCGCAAAATACACCAGGTGGTCATTGGAGAGAGCCCCAACTCTTGTGAACGGCGTTGAACTGATCGATTTGAATTCGCATCAACACTGGCCTGAACGGCTGCGATATTCTCTTCACTACGGGCATTTCTTTGTCTCACAGGCACAGCAGTATCGTGGAGAGTGAATTCACTTTCAAATTTTGTTATTATGCGATTTATAGCGCGCACAGAAGGAGCACTATGACAACCGTTTTTTGCGCGAAGCGCTCTTACTGTAGCGGTAGGAGAACGCGAATTTGCGTAATAGTTTTGGTCAATTTCCAAGCGTTGGTTTAAAGTGAAACGTGACATGATAAAATGGCAAACCTTACTGAACACAAATGTCAAGAGATATCAAAGATCCACCATCAAACATGGCCGCTATGAGCTGTCAAAACCAGGTCATCCCTATTGGTAGACCCAGTATAATTATCAGCAGTCTGGTTACCATAGAACAAGCTTTGGCTAGTTTGGGATCAGACGGCCGTGTGTGAGATCTTTGAAGTTATTATTATATGCACATTCAACCAATCCTGTCGATGATGTAACAAATTTCGAGAGTCAATCCGTACCGGTTGATTTAACTTATTGTTCTGTAATAGATTAGTCTGTTGGTTTGACATTGAACTTGCTATAAATAGACGCTATTCTATGAGTCTCGTGTTAGC